CCTGCTGAAGTTGTAGTCCCTGTTTTCACAGAGACTGTTACGGGGCGATTTTTAAATCAAAATCGATCGCATGTGCAAGGGTGTACTTGTGTCTGGTCCCCACAGCCACTTCACCTATTTAATTGGAAAACATTTCCAGAGCAAGGAAAATAAAATCCCATCACTGCTGTCTTTGGTGATAAGTTTCTCTTTATTCACCATCACTGTGCTGCTAATGTATACAAGATTCTGTGTCCAATACACACACGGTTTCTTAAACCTCCTGTTTTCTCCTTCCTCCCTGGGATAACGTGCTGGGAGCTATATCCACACTATGTAGCAATTCCCAAGAGATTTTCAGCTGATGTAGGATGCCTGCATGGCACAGATTACTGCCAACAACACCACACTAGGTGAATGGTAGTGCTGACCTGAAGAGTCCTGGGGCAGAGTGCTGCAGTTTTTGGATTCTCAGCAGGCTGGAGGATGATTAGGCTGCAGAAAGGAGCACCATGCTAAGAGCCCTGTTTGCATTCAGTGATGTGTTGTTCTAAGGATTCTCTGAAGACAATAGCAAGTTATTTTGTGTTGCTGTTGTTTTAGAAGTTGTGAGTAGAGGTTTCCAGATTGGTTGTGGTATTATTTCACTGAATGTGAAGCAACAGAGAGTGTATCAAACCTTAAGGAAGCTTCTGGCAGTACAGAGTCACTGAAAATGGTATTTGGTGCATTTCCTGGCTCCACAAAGCACGAAGCAAAGCTTGATGAATTCAGGAGCTTTGCTTCTTCCCTGAGATTCATGTTTAACTCATGTTTTCCTTGTCTTTTTGTTGGTCAGTGTTGGGCAGCCATTCCAAGGGGCTTACTTGGAAATCAGCAAGAACCCCAAGTACAAAAAACTTAAAGATGCTGTGGATGAAAAGATCATCATTGCAGAAGTTGTGAATAAGATCAATAGAGCTAATGGGAAGGTAATAAAATGCAATTGCTTTGTCCAAGAGAGTAGATCATTGTTGTAAGCAAACTGAGAGGGAGACTTCATTTCTGTCATGTAACAGTCTGAGGATTTAAAAAACTGCCTCTCTTTTAAGGAGGCTTTATGTAAATTGGTGATTTTAAATACCTGCTTTACATTTATGTAAAGATTACTAAAATCTTGCTTGGGTTTGTAGTTTTCAGCAACTTTTCCAACCAAAAATGGCATCTCAACAACTGGTAACAGACTGCATTCATTCATGACTAAATGTAGTCTCTATACAAAACTTAGATCTTCTGTTTGCCAGTCAAAGTAAATAAATATTTGGAGAATATTATTCCTCTTCAAGTATTAAGAAAACCTTTCATGGTTCACACTGTCATTCAAGCTCTTGATTATCACATTTTATTAAGTTTTTAAACTGTGAGTGTCATACTCTATCTTTGCCTGTCTTCTCATTGATAGCAAAAGCTTTTTGGACTGAAGAGGCAAGTTTCTTGTATCCTCTGAATAAAGTTGTTAAATATGCTGGCTACTTTTTTTTATTCTGCCAGCACAGGACTTGTTTTGCATTTAAATCACACTTATTAAACCAGGAAGTATTATCCTCCCTTAGGAAATGTAATTGTTTTCACCATATCTGTCTAAATGTTAGAGGTAGTAGATGTCATTTCTGCATTTGTAGGAGTGAAATTAGGTTGCCTGTTGTTGATGCCAAGTTAATTTTCCGGTTTAGAAGAAACTAATTAAATGAAGACAATATCTTTCCTGTACTTGCATAGGCCACAGCTCTCAAGATTTTAAAATAATAATAATAATAATGAGCTATGGTTCTGTGTGCTTAAAACAGCTGCTTCTTAATCATAAGAGTTAAGATTTTATTATTTTAAGTTTTGCAGGAGAAAAAGTTGTATGGACATTAAGTTCTCATTTCTCTTTCTTCTTATTTTCTAAGGCAAATTTAAGAACACACATTCATGCTTTAAAAATATTTGTTGCTTCAAAATACAAATGTTTATCCTCCTAAAGCATAATTCAGTAGATAAAGGGAGGAGAACCTAACACTGAAAACACCTACATGATTCGTGTTGTTGTGCAATACAGTTTTGGTGAATAACAGTAAATAGTGAGGCTTAGTGCTGAATTAGCTACCACTGAAGAGGTACATTGGTTTTCCTGGGGACTGACAGAGCGTGAGAAATGAGGTTATCCTCATTTGCATAGTTTCTGAGTTTCAGTTTCTGAATTTTATAACTGTAAGCTAGTAATTAAAGGAACTGCTGATACCTAAGCATATGTGCCAAAATGAGCTAAGCTTCTCCCTCTATAATTAGACACAGAAATACAACTGACCTGATTTTAACTGATCTGCAGCTTTTACTGAGAATCATATACTGAACATTCATATGTGGGACAAGATTATTAACTCTATGAACTACTTGTAGTCTTAGTAGGTGCTCAGTGAAGACCAGTTCTCTGTGTAGCTAATGGTTTGCATTTTTGTGTTTTCACAGGCTGCATCCAGGATCTTCTTATTAACCAAAAATAACGTTCTTCTAGCAGATCAAAAATCTGGGAATATCAAGTCAGAGGTTCCACTGGGAGACGTTACCAAAGTATCCATGAGCTCCCAAAATGATGGCTTCTTTGCAGTGCACCTCAAGGAGGTTGTTTACAACTTTATAATACAATAATATAATAGTTTTACAGGCAGTGACATATATAAAAATCCGTTATGAATTCTCATGTAGCATTAAATCGTAGTGGTTAGCTTGTAGGTTTAGTAAGTTTATTGACCATTGCCATATCTGCAAAAACTGATTTAAAACTACAGAAGCCAAATGAGAGCAGTTATTACATTATGAAAGATCATTTACTTGAGAAAATCAGACTTCAGGTTTCACCGTAGCCTCTTTAGGACTGGAGTTTTCCATTGGTAATATGGGCCTTTAATCTGGTTCAGACACCTTGTGGTTTTCCTTTTTAGCTGTTCATATAATTCTTCCTGACACACTGGCAGAATATTTTCTCTTCCTTATGGGATGCCAAGAAATCCACGTTATGGCATGGCTAATTTGGTTAGTCAGTTCTAAAGAACTTAGCTCCGTGCTATATTGGTTGTACTGCACTGTCAGCATTGCTCTGCTAAAATCATTAAGCTGGCATTTGTATTCCAGCTTAAATGGGTTTGAAGAACACCATATATGTGGTCTTTTCCTACTGACCACCTTCATCCTAAAAACTAGTTGGGAACTGATTTCTGTTCCTTTCTGAAAATGCTGTGAGCTTGCTGCAGTGTAGCCAGAAGAACACGAACACTACAGGTTTGTAGGACAAATGAAGGTGACCCTTCTGCAACAGGTTTGTAGTTGAGAGGGAATTGCATTTTGATCCTATACACTGCACTGCATCCCTATTTAATTTGTAAGGCAAAAGACCGTTTTGTTGTGCTGGGAAGAGAAGACTCCTTGTAAAGCCTCCTGTTTGGTTGGCATTTAATATTTTTAATATTCAAGGTTTTGGTAGTCTAAACTACTTTCCTTCCTGTTTCAGGGTTCAGGAGCAGCCAGTAAAGGAGACTTCCTGCTCAGCAGTGATCACCTTATCGAAATGGCCACTAAGCTTTACCGCACTACTCTCAGCCAAACCAAGCAGAAGCTCAACATTGAGATATCTGATGAGTAGGTTTCTTGTTTGCTTAAAAGTGCATTTCCTTCAGTGCAACAGGCTAAGAAGTCAAGTACCTCATGTTAGAAAAACAAAACTCTGTTGCGTAACTAACATTTCTTTTCTCTTGACAGAATGCTTGTAAATAAGGATCCAATTTTCCATGTGTACTCATTTCTAGTATTCATTTTGGCTTTTATTTCCTTGAAAGTCATTAAAGAAAATGTGCTTTTTGTAAGGTAGTTTCAAAGAGGGTTATGAAGCTGAATTGCTGCTGTAAACCTAATTATCAGATACTGCCTTTGAGAGAATTGTTTTGTGTGACTGAAAAGTTCACATATTCCTATGAGAGGTTTATTGATTAGAGTGGACACTAGGTGTCATCTTCCAGTGGAAACAACCAAAACATAATGAAAAGCTCCCCACCAAACGCATGTAATGGTGGTGCTAATAATGTAGGTCTGTAAAGCTCTGCTTTCTCTTGTGAAAGTGAAAAACGTATTCCTAAAATTCCTGTGGATGTTGTTTGAATCACCTTTTGTTGGTTTGGATTTTTTGGTTGTTTAGAAACGTTGTTTGATAAAAAGCTTTGCATCTCAAATTAGTATTTCTGCTTGGTGCAGTCTCAAAGATTTCAGGGTTTATTTAGAGCCTAACTTTGCTTTTTCCTTGAAAATGACATCTGCCATTTTCCTTTATTCTGTTACCAGATGTGATGTAATTTGCTCAAGGGTGTGCATTTTTAGCCTCTAAAAAGTGTGGCACTCCCCAGTAAGTTTCTACTTTAATGATGGCTAGAGAGGAATAAACTATGAAAAGAAAGTTTAAGCATGTGTTGCACCAGTCTGGACTGCCTTAGGTCTGGGGAACAGTCTGCTTTCTGGGACTCTTGAATTTTGGGATGTGGTTTTGTTTCTTGTCTTGCAGATTAAAAACATTCAAGTATGTATTGCTATTGAGTTTATCCAGACTTAATGCTTCTAAGTTGGTAGCAGTTCCATCTGTGTTGATGGTGAAGCAGTACTCTCTTCCTGCTGGAGTTTAGCTACAAGCCTAGAGTTTAGACACAAGCACAACTTGGGGATTGAGGAGAAAACGTGGCCTTGTGTTGACTACTGTGCACTAGTTTTTGGGAAGAGAGCTGATACAAGCAAAAATGCTGTTGATCCAGGGGTATGTCTAGTAAGAGCTATACCCTTTAGAGATATAATATGGGAACAACGAGCATAGGAAAATGCAGCACTGGTGATAAGAGTTGATGGCTGTAAGACCTACTCACGTTTTCCAGATGCTTGCATGGCTGGGAAGCACCAAACAAGTTAATAATCTTTGAGCATCTGGGCTGTGCAGCAGGAAAGTGGGACCGAAGGGCAGCTCGGCACAGCAGAGGCCACTTCCTCCCCTGAGCTCTGCCGTCAGCTTGATTTGTGGCTTCCGGCTGGAGAGCAAATTCTTTGAAGTTTTTGGCTTCTGCTGGAGGACTTTTTAAGGATGCTAAAAGGGAAAATCTGTATTACAAAGGACTTTTTAGGTCAGCAACTGCTGCCTGTGAGCCAAAAGGCAGCACTGCCCTGTTTATTGCTTTTTAATCGTGCTATTCAAATCAGTGAGAAGTTTGACTTGAGATCCACTGGAGCCTGTTGGTGCTCTTTTTTCATTTTGTTTTTTTTCCTAAAGCAATTCTCTTCATTCAATGAAATCTCTCTTCCTAAAAGAGTCAGATCCAGATGAGTTTATCCGGACTGTAGGAAATACCTAAATTTGGAGATTGCTGAGAAGGAAGTGAATTTTCCCAGGGGTCTGTAAAGGCTAACAAAGGATTAGAAATATGAGAGCTGCTAAAATAACAGATATACTAAATTAAGTGTAAACCTGAAAAGCAGCACTTCTGATGTTGCTCTAGAAGTAATTAGTTTCCTTCCATGAAAACAGAAAAGTCCCTTTGGACTCACTGGATGGTGAAGCAGTTGGAAATAGTCTTTGCTGTATTTCTGCTACATTAGAAATTCTGTTTCTGCCTTCTTTCTAAGGGAATAGCAAACTAACTATTATATAAGGGCCAGTTACAGGAAAAAAGCAGTAATTAAGAGATACTACCTAAAGGAGACTCAAGCCATACCATAACCTATGGCTGTTTTTTAATTCCCCAACTCATTATTAATAGAGACCTGGAGGTGACATCTTTTGGAGCAATGCTCACAACCACCACAAAAAGACTTGTCCTCCTCATGTGTTTTTTTTCCCCCATCTTTAACCAAAATGTATCTTCCTCCCTCTCCTAGGTTTCTGGTCCAGTTCAGACAAGACAAAGTGTGTGTGAAGTTCATACAAGGCAGCCAGAAAAACGGCAACATCCCAACTTGCAAGCGAAAAAACAATCGGCTTCTCGAGGTGGCTGTCCCTTAACTGCAGCCGGGGACGCGCACGGACTCCTTCCTCTCCAACAGTGCAATTTGGGTTGTTTGGTTTTGCTGGTTTTAGACCTTTCTGGAGCTGTTGATGGCTAATAGCTTTAGAAACCCTTGGCAAAACATCTGATCAATCGGTTTTTTAAATCTTTTTTTTTTGTTCATGCCAGAGTTTTTACCCTCAAAACGCAGATTTTTACCCAGTGAGGCATTTTTACCAGCTGGCACGTGTCTGTCATACAGGAATTGTTCTCTTTGTTTAGTGGTCATATTTTAGTGCAGCATACCATAAACCCACATATTAATGAAAAAATTACTCATATTCCTTAGCCTAGAGATCTGCTTAACAGGAACTATACATGGCCTCGATGCTTGATGGCCACTTGTGCCCAGTGTCTCTTTGTACCAGCCTGTTCTGGTGTTCTGACAGGCTCCTTGCTTGCCAGCACTGGGGAGACCAGCAGAATGGAGGTGACACACTAACTCCTGTAGGCAACACTAGGACCTATGTAACTCAATCTTTTAGTCAGTACAGCACAAGAACATCTAATTCTGCAAACCAGAAGGAATATATGATTATACAAGCATCTCTGTGCATAATTTTATAGTAAAAAATGCAGAAAATTTGAAGCAGTATTTTTTAATTAGGTCAGATGTTTTTAATGGCTATACAGTAGAAATCAGTAAAATTAAAAAAGCTTGTTTCTTTCTCAAAAGCTATACAGTTCAAGGCATATTTTCTGTTCTGCCTTTTTTTTTTCTTTTAAATTATCAGTTAAGATTAGAGCCTGAAAAATGCAATAGTATTCCTAACCCAAGTAAATGCTAGGTATTTAAACAGGTAGTTATTGAGCGAAAGGTTTGAGCCTTTCTTTTAGATATTGGCATGTACAATGTGCAATAAAACACACGTGACATTTTGTGAAAAGTTATTTATAATACAGTTTTGTGTGCAAGAGAGAGGATTGGTGCAGACTGCATAGACAATGTAGGGGTTCAAATAGACTGGTGTTGTTAATTTGCAGTTTTTTAGAGTATACACTACAGCTGACAATTTGGGAAGAATACTTGGAATTAAAAGAATCCTTAATTCGAGGGTCTGTATATAAATTGGTATTATGGTAATAAAACTGTTCTAATTCTGTGCTGTTTGGTACTCCTATGTTATAACCATATTTTTGTACTCCAGACTCTTTTCTATAACTTGTGTGCCTGATGTAAATGCGTGCACAGAAAATACCATGAAGAGCTGCATTATAAACTTTCAGTGTAACTGATTGCACTTAATCTTTTATAAGCCAGAAAGATGAGTTGAAATCCTTAAGAGGAGAGACGCGTTCTTAGGTAGAAGTAACTACTCAAGTGAAGGGTTTGTTGGATGTGACTTTGATTTGTTGATGCAAGGACAGCTGAGAAAGCGTTGTATTTTTGCAGTCTGATATAGGACAGATTAAGACCCTGGGTTCTGATGTGCGGTGCTGGAAGTCCAAGCATAAATAAAGGAAAGATAAAGAAAAGTTCAGAGTCTCGTTACTCTCCTGGTGGTAAAGTGATGTAGTGCTCATGGCTGTGAAGGCTCCTCTGGGTAGTTTGGTATTAACGTTGGCTCTCCACTTTAAAAAGGTATTTACTGCAATAGATGTTCTAGTGCTAACAGTCATCAATCTGAAAAAAACCAGCTGGTTTGGGTTATACCTCATTTTGCTTTGGGATTAAAGTAAATTATTCTGCTATGATTGGGATACAAAACAAACGTTTTAGCAGGTTGCTTTAATGTTGCTGTTAAAGTCCATGCAGATGATCTTGAAAAGTGGGAGTAATCAAAAAATACATTCCCCACACTCTGACAAAAATTTGCCTCTTCCTTATGAACTTAGTTTGAACCCTTCCTTTAATAATTGAGTCAGGTTAATAATTTAATAAAATTTAAATAATTTTACATGTATTGTAATTAGAGATGCTTGAAAAGGAAATCTTAGTATCGATTTGTAATGCAAAATGAGGATACTTCAAAGGAATTATTCCATTGCCTGAAGAAGACAGCACATAATAACATGACATTTAAAACTCCTAAATCCTGTATTGGAATTCCTGCTTGGTAAAGACTGGGGGATTTGTAACACCATTTGGTGTCCTGAAAACAGTAAGAACTACAAGGAGCAAGTTTTTTGAACGAATACAAAAGTAAGGAAAACAAACATTGAAAGTCTGAGGTAATCCCATAGTTGTTTCCAGGTAGGAAATGAGAGAGTTTAGATGAAGTATACCTGGATATCTGACCCATGAAATGAGGGTATCACAGGATATGTTAGATATTAGACCCATCCCAGCCAGATCCAGTGTGTGTCCCTTTTACTTGATCTTTGCAGCAAGTTGTGATAGCCATACCTGCAAAAGACTGGAAGAGGCACAAACTCCTCACTTGGATTTCTGTTGTTTCATTTCTTTTTCTGGACCTTTACAATTTTTACCTTTTCTATGAGCTGATACTTTGTGATATTTACTGTTTGACACATAAATATTTCTCAATGTACAGAGCAAGTTTGCTGAACATGAATTATTTAGATCTGCTAGGAGAGTCATGGTATCTTGATGTTTAGATTTAAGTATCAAGGATGTTGAAATTAAAAATGGAAGGTCACCTAGGCTTTTTTTTTTTTCCTTTTCCTCTCTTTTCTTTTATAACTGTCTATCAAATGGAGTTGTAAAGAGGCGACTATTCCTCCTATGGTGCTAACCCTACACAGCCTTTTACTTGTAAATCTTAATTTGTCATCTGAAAGCTGGGCAAGGTTCATTAAAAAAAGAAAAAGAGATTTGTTGCATGATACCTTCCAGAATCAAATAAAATTCTGTTCCTAGACCTGTACATTTTCTATATCTGTATCTTCCTTACTGCCATCAAATCTAAAAAGAGCAAGTGACTGGGTTTTAAGTTAAATATGCACAACATTGGTGTGTGGCTTGGAGAGAGAAGACATTTTTATTTTGCATGTGAATTCCTAGGCTGGCAGCGTATCTTCCTCAGTGATTCACAGTAACCTCCTTCAGTGCAAGTCCTTTCCTCAACATGGTTTTCTCTGAAAATTCTCCAGACTCAACTTTTCTAACATTAGGATTTGGACAGATTCCCTAAGAACGGTATTAATAGCCAATTAATCTGATTTCTTTTTTTTTTTAATGGCTTTGAGCCATTTCCTACCTATCACATTCCACGTTTTGTCTTACTATCTTTCTTTCTCTTTTTATCTATAACAGTTTTATCCTTATTTATTTTTGTTCACTGCACAAATTATGGAAGAAAAACTAAAATGTAAAATCAGAACTGCATATTCAGTTTTGATCCTTTTGCTTTTACTGCTGAAATGAGAGCCTTTTTGTAAAGACTTCCTGGGGGAGAAAAAGTTTGAAGAATGAATGAAAAAATTTGATATGAAATGAGATCATTTTCCTCAGTCAGTGTGATTTTCACTGTTAATTCTTAAGCTTTTACATCTTGAAGATCTTTTTTTTTTTAGATCTTTTAGTTCTTTTTTTTTAATCTTGAAGAACAACATATTTTCCATATTCTATAGGTAATGGTTGTGTTTATTTTAAAAGATTGCTCTGCAGTGTGGGTGTGATGGGCAGGAGGGAGGTGCACATGTCTGTGCTTCTTTGGACATGAGGACTTGCCAACAGAGACATGTTTCAAAGACAGACCTGAAATTGATTTATGGGGATGCTGACAAATAATAACAATATAGACAAGCATGAATTTTAAGTCATCTTCAGCATCACAAACAGATGAATTCTGGCTTTTCTCCTAGCTACCTTCTGTCTTATTGGAGTATTTTGTAGCTTAGACACATGACTAGGGTTGGGGACACAATTCTTTACCAATGGTTGTAAAATCTCTCAAAGTGATCAAAATTCTCTGCATACTGCTTGTAATCATGTAGCATAAAATAATTACATGTTACATCACTGTCCCATGACGTTCCAGTTAAATGTAACTCCAGGCATGTAGTGTGAGCTTGTGGCCATTCCAGCACAATATTGCCTGATTTGCACTACAGACCTGTCTGAAATTGTGGCATCTGTTAAGTAGTTTCAGGAGACAGAATTCAAAGAGAACAGCATTCCCATATCTGTCCCACTGAGTGACACTTTCCATTTTACAACAGACTGGAGTGTTTCCTCCCAGAGAGGTAGGTAAAGGGAGGTATAGTGGATGCAGAAGAAGAAACTTCATTGCCAGGGTTCGTTGGCAGAGCAGCCCTTGCTTCTGCTCAAACACAGGTAGGAGCAGTCACTGCTTTAAGCACACACTGTATCAACACTGCACAGAAAAGCCAGGCTCTGTTGGAGTATATAGAGGATTGTGGTGAATTTACAGTTGCTTTTAATAATTTGTGTAAATGTGTATTTACATAGGTTGGGGCAGATTTGCATTTGCCTGTCTCAAAAAAAGCAGATGGAATGCAAAGAGGAAGAAAGCACTCCTACAAATTTGATTATTTTTTTTTTAAGGAAACACATTTCACATCAGGCTGTATTTGTCTATGGTAAACTACTGCTATTTTAAAGGATTTGGGCTGCAAGAGGAATATCAACTTAGTGTAGTTATCAGCTAGAACCAGTTCTGCTGCTGTTGCCTTTTGCATATGGATGAGTTGGGTATTCAGGTTTTAACTTTTAATGAGATTTAGGACAGTCTGAGGCCATTGCAGTTAACTTTGATCATGATCAATTGATGAACTGCAGTCCTAAAAGATTTTTAGAAACAGATTCCCTCTTTCCTTCATCCTAAACTTTTAAGAGATTTTTTTAAGATCTCTTTTTAAGTGATTTTCATCTGATTGTGAACTGAGTAGGTGAAATTTGAAGTATGAAGAACAAAAGGCTTTATACATGAATGAAAAGAAAATTTGAAGAATCTGAATATCTCCTCTTAATAATTCAGCTGATTTCCAAGGCTGCACCCTGCACTTAACCCACGGTAAGGATCTCTTTGCTGCATATCAGTCAACTGTTTATGGTCTTTAATTATCAGAGACAAGAGAAAAACTGAATATATCCCTCTGGCCAGGGAATCTTCTTCCCTGGAAACATGGCAAAGTGCTGGCGATCTGCAGGGAGACCTTGCCCACACCCCCAGGACTTTGCTGCCCAGCTTCACCTTCCCCTGCTGAAACATCAAATGCCTTTTGGGTTGTTCTCTGAACATGAGAGACAATGCTTTTTGGCACAACAAATGGGGATTTTTGCTGGCCTGTCAGTGTCCCTTCTGGATGTTACAAATCCATTCCCCACCAGTATCTTGATGTTGGCTGGTCCTAGAGATGCTGGGTCTCCAATCACGTTCTGATTTCCTCCTGCCCCTGTTCCTTCCTGCCTCTGCTGCTCTCTGCAGTGGTAAA